AACCTTTGGTGTTACAACAGCAAAATAAATAGTGCTCTATTTTGCCCAAGTATTTTAAAATAAGGTAAATTTTAGTTTTATTCGTTCGGTGTTCATTGACTTAGTTAACTTAAATGTTAGACTTACCAGGTTGAAGATGTTTGACGTTTTTTCCAACTTTGATAACTGTACCAGATGCTTCATGACCTAAAAGGAATAGTAGTAAAATATTAATAAATCTAACGAACGAAGTAAGAACTACAAAAAACTCCTTATTGTGATGTGATTTTAGTAGGTATATTATTAGAGAGATTTAAAACAAATTAGGGTATATAAAATTCAAATATATATAAGTATGTATATGAGAAATAAACAAAAAAAGATAAATAACTTTCAAAATCACCCATAAACATTACGTCAACAAAGCTATTTGATTACATTTCTATAACTAATTTTTATCTTATTTTATTCCATCAAATATTTACTAATAAAATAATATTGAGAAATAAAAATTATACAGTATATGATAATTTAAAAAGGAATTTAAGTTAATTAATTATCATTAAATTAGTAATATTTTGACTTAAAGTATAACTCATAATATTTTATCCAAATTATTCCACAATAAATTATTTATTTTTTGATATCAGTAAAATTATTTGTCAAATATGTTTAGCTTTCGTTAATTTGCGCAATTTACAATATTATGACATTCAATTTGAACTTTCTTTACCTATTATCATGGGTTTCTCAACGACAAACGGACCAATTCTTCCATTGACTAGATAATGGACATCGGATCCACATATTCCAACCACTTCCATCTGTAGAAGTACCTCTGAAAAGAAAATAAATTTATTAATAAATCAGTAATTAACTGAATTCAACCAATTATATACATTTGTATGGCTAAATATTAGTTCAGTCATTGGGGATTTTTGCTTGGAAAAAAGTCCGGAAGTTTTGCAACTTTGCAGGTTTATAGGTTTTGGGGTCCCCTTCTTATAAGGGGGTCCCTAACTAAAATCCATAAAATGCACATTTCCAGACTTGCCGCCGGCGCCGCCATCTTGCCAAGATGGCGCCCAAAATCGGTATTTTGTAAATATCTCGAATTATTATATATATATATATATATATATATATATATATATATATATATATATATATATATATATATACATATATATATATATATATATATATATATATATATATATATATATATATATATATATATATATATATATATATATATATATATATATATATATATTTCTATAAAAAAGGTTCTATGAAAATTTTCGCTAAAGTCAACCGTTTAGGCACAAAATCGCTGGAAATTTTACAATTTTGCCTAAAATATGATATATTACGTATAGTCGATTTTCCGAAATCAAATGTCAATTAGGGTTCACTAAAACTAGTTTTAGTTTAGTTTCTTCAATTTTGTCATGAAACAGTGGCGTATCATTAATTCGCTCATTAATTTATGAATAATTAATTTTAATTATTGAAAATGTGTACTTGCTTCCACACCACCCAAGAGGTAAAGTACATGGCGCGTTTATTTTAACGTGGTCTCCCCGGAGGCCTATTCCACTAGGTAAATTAAAAACTTTATATTTATCTGCACAAGCCCGACGGACCTGGTTCATTCATGTAAAGTCAATATCGTGTCTGCTGTGCTGGGCTCATCAGGGTGGTCTCTCAATTCGTCCAACTCTTCATCTTCAGCCGCCAGAGGGATATCTACAGGCAAGTCCAACTCCTCTTCATCGGATTCGTCGAGTGACACTGCAGTGACGTTGTCACAGGATTTCCCATTGCAGTAGGCACAAATCATTGAACATTTCAATCCTGCTTTTCTGCATCCGCAGGCTTTACCACAGTTGTTGGTTTTGCACTTACAGGATAAAAATGCCAATAGGGATTTTGGAGCCGAATCTGTCAACGTTGTGACTGGAGTAATGCATGTTTTTGTAAGTAAGTAAGTAAGTAGTAATTATTATCATAAATTAATTATTATTATAATAAACGAATTAATGATACGCCATTGTTTTATGACAAAATTGAAGAAACTAAACTAAAACTAGTTTTAGTGAACCCTAATTGACATTTGATTTCGGAAAATCGACTATACGTAATATATCATATTTTACGCAAAATTGTAAAATTTCCAGGGATTTTGTGCCTAAACGGTTGACTTTAGCGAAAATTTTCATAGAAGCTTTTTTATAGAAAATTTTATTTTATTTAATTTTGCTCTCCTCAAATTTTTGCGAAAAACGCATAGTTTTCGAGATATTTACAAAATGCCGATTTTGGGCGCCATCTTGGCAAGATGGCGGCAAGTCTGGAAATGTGCATTTTAGGGATTTTATTGTTAGGGACCCCAAAACCTATAAACCTGCAAGGTTGCAAAATTTCCGGACTTTTTTCCAAGCAGGCCCCTTTTTTGATCCCCAATGACTGAACTATATACCTTGTGGTGTATCGGAACACGGGACATAGGTAATCCTGAATGTACATTTTTAAAAAATCAAATATTATCGCCCCTGATGGTTTTATGCAAAAATTATAAGACTTTTTTGAAGAGGCGTTAAAGTTGTACTTTCGCATAGAGTTTCGTTTAATTAGGAATGGACATCTAAATGTTATTTACAAAAATCTACCTTCAAATTACTAAAAATGTACCGTATGATAAAAAAACGGCGTCTAGTTGGCTGGGAAATGACGATCACTGACATTTCCCACATAAATTTGCATATAAAATGACAGCGATCTTCATTTCATAGCCATCGCTGACGCCGTTTTTTTTTATCATACGGTATAATAGTCAGTGTACTGCATATCATGAGAGCCTTTGTGGCTTCCCTATATATTGGTCTTAATATGCATGTTTCATAGAAGTTTATTGACCAGAGAGCTTACTATAACTTCCTGTGATGGTAATATTTATTTTGAATCTAGTTTAGATTCTGGTGAATCAGCGGTTTTGTCTGAGTTGATGCTCAGCCTGGCAGTCCTATAGTCTCGCAGTGATTCCTCGGAGTCCTCTTTGGATAATATCACACAGGGTACCTTCATGTTTCTATCGAACGATCATGACTATGTCATCTGCATATCCAATGATTCTAGCATAGATATTATGGCAAATAACTTTAACTTTGATGGTTAATTCCAGTTTTTAAATGGAACATCCCGTATATTTCAAAACTTTTTACGTGAGTTTTTTAAGATATTTATAACGACTCTTACTATACCGGGTGCGTCTCAAAAGTTGCTCACCCCTATACCTTCTCTATTTATTCAGATAAAACAACGAGCTTTGGTAAGTTAGTATATGACATATATTAGGATTGATTGACGTATTCAATTGTTTTCAGTCCTGTTTTACCGGAAATGACTACAACTTTTGTTTTTTAAATGGCATCCTCGGTATTTTTTTACTTTATTCGATAGAAAATGATACCCTGAATAGAATGACATATCATATTATGTAAACATTTGACATTTTCGTATATGGTTTATTTGAAATTATAACATGCGGTTCATAACTACAATTTGATTCGAAATACGAAGTGTGTGTTATCAAATTATTCGTAGAAAAATGATTTTTCCAAATATGCTAATGAGCCACCCTCGTTCTATTTGCAAAAATTGAGATATGATTAAAAATAGGGTTTGGGCATTTTTAACAGGTCAGGACAAGACACTAAAAAGATTAGACGATCAGACCCATTTTTCCAAGGCTCCTTGATTAAAAATTAGTGTTTTTAATATAGCCATGGCACTCTAGATTGAAATTTAAAATACAATTTGTTTTGTCAAATGTCAAAGTTGACATATGTATCATTCGATTCAGAGTGTCATTTCCTATCGAATAAAGTAAAAAAATACCGGGGGTGCTATTTAAAAATCAAAAGTTGTAGTCATTTCCGGTGAAACATGAAATGAATACGACTTTTGACAAGTGACCGAAAACAATTGAATACGTTAGTCAATCCTAATTTATGTCATATACTAACATACCAAATCTCGTTTTTATCTAACAAAAAAAAAGAAGTTATAGGAGTGAGCCACTTTTGAGAAGCACCCGGTATATTACATTTAACCATGTACACAATTTTAATAGATTCCCAAATATTTTAGCTTTTTATACATTTTGATTATTTTTGTTTTGTGCCGCGTTAATAATTAATACCTATAGGTTTTAAAAAAGATTAAATGAATCACCTGCCTAAATGAATAATCGCTCTGCTGTGAACATATATTAAACATAATTTTAGGTTGCTGCGTCTTTTTTGATTTAAGGATTTTGTTTAAGAATTGAAGAAAATTAATATAATGTAATATGGTAATGAATAGTGTAACAACAGGAAAAGAATCTTTTAACCTGTAATTTTTCAGAAACGTTCGAAAATATATGACAAAGATGATTTTAGGTTTTATTAATTTTTATAAGTAATTTTAATAATGTAATGCAACACTTCATGTACTTGTACGTCTTTTACTTGAAAACTATTGATAAACGCTTTTTTATACTGATATTAGAATAAAGAATATTTAAAAAAAATATTTGTTAAAAATGAATCAATTCTTCATCAAATTGCATATTCAGAAGGCGCCTTTTTCGAATTGAAAAATGATTATACATATATGTAATGAATAATTAAACTTATTCACTATATTTTATATTATAATAAAAGTAATTTCTTTAGTTTTCAAAATTATAGTTCGATTTGTATGTAGTATGTATGTATGTACATTTGATTTATACATGTTTAGGATAGTACCACATAGTACCAACAAATCTGTACCTAGCAACATTTGAAATTTAAATGAGAAACCAGATGTAAGTTGATGTTAAATGTGGATAATAGACATAAAAGTCTAGTAATCAAATGTTTTTCTTATAATGGAATAAAAGCGAATATAGTTAGTGGATTTTGTTATATCCAACCATAAAAATAAAGTAAATTTGTAAAAATTACAACTCGAAACATATATTACAAAATTATTCGTAGATTACTATAAAAAATGCGTTGGCATTTTACCTTAGAAATGACGTAAATATGTAAAATTATGCATTAAATGCCATTAATTGGTCTTTTCTAAGGTAACTTCATGCCGTATTTTTTCGATTATACTTTATACATAAAATGAAAAATTCTATGTCAATAAATCCTAATTTATGTCATATACTAACATACCAAGTCTCATTGTTTTATCTGAAAAAGTAAAAAAGGTATAGGGGTACACTTTTGAGACGTACCCGGTATAATATAAAAAATAATATCAATAATAATATACAGAGTGAGTCTTAAATAAAAGCAAATATTTTTAGGGGTAGTATATATCGATCCAAAAAACATGCCTATGATTTTTATTTTTTTCGCAAAAAAAACATTTTTGAAAATTTGAAATTTTTCGAAAAAAATTTTGAAAATTATTTTAATTTTTAGTTAAATAACGTAATATCTTCATAATATGTCAACATAATTAGTAGATTAAATTTACAAGAAAGAAAACCCAGAAAAGATCCAGTGATCCTCAAAATTTAAATAAAAAATCATTTTTTTTATTTACAAGAAACAAACCCTTGAAAAGATCCAGTGGTTCTCAAAATTTAAGCAAAAAATATTTTTTTTGGAGATCTTGAAAATAAAATATTTCGGTTATTTTGGACTTATTTGAAAAACGGTAGAGAGAAAATATGTTCCTTTTATCGAGATCTACCAACCCTGAAAATATTTGCCCTTATTTATGACTCACCCTGTATAAAAAGTAAATTAATAAAATAAATTCTGTATCACGTATTACCCGCCTATGACA